GGGGGGGGGGTCAGCCCCACCATTTGTACAATTTTGAATCCCCACCACCTAGGGATGCTTCCAGTCAAATTTAGTTTAATTCCAACCTGTGGTTAAGAAGAAGAAATCGTTTAAAGAAATTGTTGACGTACGTACGACGGACGCCACGGTATGGCATAAGCTCACCTTGGTCCTTCGGACCAGGTGAGCTAAAAAAAGGAGAAAATCTCTGGACAAAAAAATCAAATACTGAAATGAACATAGGGCAATAACATTTGGAAAAATTATCGAATCAAAATTCTTTTAAGGGAGACACAACTTCAGATCATGATTATAATGTATACCAAGTTTCCAAGAGATCGGTCAACAAATGTAGGAGGAGATTTAACAGACAAACAAAATTTTACGCCGGAGGGACGGACAACCCCATACCAAAATACTAACGTCAAACTTGACGGCCATATAAAAACAGGAATAACAACTATTTTCAAAATCCAAGATGACTGCCTGTCGGCTATTTTGCTTATTTGATCAGTCTCACAAGTAAAATGTACAACTACAGACCAAGATCATATCAAATTAGAGAAAAGTCCATCCAGTTTACTCAATATATTCAATATGGCCATCTTGGTTTCCCAATCTATATCAAAATTAGTAGTAGTACAGGGAAAGTGCTGTCGGCCATCTTTGTTTTTTTCCGATAACTAGGGACCATGGGTAACCTTCATCTGAAGTTTGAGAAATATTCCTCAGGCACTTTCTAAGACATAGTGCTAACAAGAATTGTTTAAGGACGGACCACGGGTGATTTTGAATAGCCCAACATCTGATGATGGTTGGCTTAAAAGTCAAGCATGCAAAGTAGACCATGGGAATTATGAACATTAAATTATCATATTCCCTCAAGTAACCGCATCAAAAATTATTTGAAGGTGGACTGTCTGAATGAAGGATTTACATAAGCCAGGTCAGATGAAAAGTGCTTTAAGCAGCCCACGTGATAATGACATTTTTTAAGAAAATAAGGCTTTATTTAATAGTTCACACAAGCTAGTTCTTTGCCTTATGTAATTTGAAATTGAACAAGCAAATGGATGCAGATTCTTTTCCAAAAACAAAGACAACAAATGTGAATTTGGAAATGGTATGTTTTATTAACAAAATTGTATTTTGTTCATCGACATATGAAATGAACATGACTGATAGAAAAAAACACCCCATTAAATACCATTCCTTTGAAACCTCTACCCCTTAAGATCATGCCCCTCTTCCAGATAGATGATGCTGTACAGTTTTAATGGAGACAGGCTCTTTATGATGGTCAACTGTTTAATAACTACAAAATGTTATAATTTGAAATAATTTATTTTCCCATTGCTATTCTCATTAATATTCAATTATGCTGTATTAAACTAAACAATGTCCAATTTTCTGAAAAGAAATGCACAATGAGGACAACATTGTCCAATTATGACATACATACATTGGTACAATGTAATTAACATATTTCTGGTTTAGCACCTTCTAATTGAATGCTGGGTGTATGTACAGTAGAATTCTCACAAAAGAACATATTTTCTTGTTTTATAGATCTAAAGAATTAAATGTGCAATAGAGACAATGTACTGTTATGTGTGTATGTGATGTACAGCTTAAAAAGTAGTTGCGTGTCAAAGAGCTCTATATCTGTGCATATTGATTTTGATTACCTCTGTAAGTGACTTCAATTTTGAGTTTCCTTTTGTGGATTTAAGACACGCCTCAAATTTAACTGTCACGAACATGTCAACCTCAGAGCAACAATAACATCACATACATATACATTTCCATGAACACATTCACAGAACAACGCCTGCAACGAAAAATCTTTCTGCTATATCGGACGAGTCTACAGTACCATTACTTGTGAATATGACTGAATAATCCACATCAGGCATGTATTTCCCTATTGTACCCTTAAAGTAGATTAAGAGACTTTCTTCCCTGTTGTCTAATCTACATGTATACACAAAATGCTGAATAATTCCATGCTGAAAATGCAAAGAAATAAGTTGCTACACACAGTCGGAGGCTATTGTGTCTAATTCAGTGATCTCTGCTGTACAACATACAGGGGTCTTTTCTCTTTTTGAAGAATGACTGTTTTGTTTTCTTTTGAATGTAACATTCTTCAGAATAAAGCCTGGCAGACCTATTTCTGCAAGCCCAGAAAGTCTTTGCCAATCCTGTCAAGACTAGTTCCTTCGATATTTCAAGACGTTTGGAATGCAATAAATGTAATTGGCCTAGTGTTTTCGCCACAATATAATCTAAATTTACTTTTTTCAACTTCACATAAACAGTAAGAACTCAAATTAAATATCAAATTCTGCTTGCAGGGACTGTTAAAATTACTTTTTTAAGTATGAAGCCTATTTCTTTTTCTGGAATACAAAATATTTTAGGACTAACCTATAAACATCTCTTGATTTCACAAATGTTCAGTAGATTTTTATTTTATCCAAAATATTCTTACTGTAGAGATTTACTTTATATATCTTATTTTTAAACTTGAAATATATATGTTTGTCATGGGACTGAAAATGATCAGCTCCAAATAATGAACACAGAAATACTTACTATCTACAGACCCCCCCTCCCCCTATCTCCTCCAAAAGCATGAAGTTTTAATGTATACTAATCCTTATAAATATTGATACAAGTGAATCCGACAGACAAAGTAACTTTAATGTTTAGTACAAATCCTCATTGTATCAACTTGTGTAATGTCACATCAACATTAACATTTTTTCTGTACACAAAAACATCTTACTGAATAATGTGCTTACATTACAACCATTTGGCAGGAGACATTTTTACGCATGTAATACAGACGGTAGCATTTACAATAACCAATACAGTTACAAAGGTAAAATTTCAGTGCGTCTTCATTCTATTGAATGTCCATAAATAAGAATCAATATCTCAGTTATGTTTCCGGGATTCACAATGCCGTGTCCTTGAATTTTGCTGCCTGTTCTCGAATGCGTTTGTCGTATTCAGCTCTGTTTTGACTGAAAAAAATAACAAAGAAGAAAACCTTAGAAGGTCAGTTAATTTTATATTCCTATTCTTTCTGTTTACAAAATTTCATAATAGAGGTAAATTAGAGCAATCATTATTTATTATCTACCAACAACATATATACAAGTATTTAATATTGATTTTTCAAAGACATATTTTTTTCCGTATACAATTATGGACAACACTACACATTTCCGTTTTTGTACAAGAGAATTTTACAATGTTTTAGCTAGTTTTTTCAATAACTTAGGTTCAGTGGTTTAATTTTTCTAATTTGATTTCAATGAAGATGTAATAAATAAATGTATATTAATATGTGGAAAGAACTGGCCTGTTCTGAAATAAACTTTATCTCCAAAAATATTTTTTAGATTCTTTGACCTGTGTTATAGCTCCAACATTTCTTTGTGGAGTTTCCTCGTATACCTCATGTATCAACAGAACAGGTTTGATTGTAACTTGAGATTAAGTGCACCCCTATGAAGAGTAAATGTTACCAGTAAACTGTGTATGCTTCCGCTTGAGCAGGGTCCTTGATGTTTGGTTCAGTTAAAAGTTCTTGAATGCCAAGTAGAATCTGTAATGTAACCATAAAAACAAAATTACCATTTGTAAACTGTTAAGATGTCAAATTTTAAAAAGTTTATAGGGCATGATCAAACTGACATTTTTTTTTTATAAACTATGCATAAACTTGAACGTTTTTACAGTTACAGGGGAACGGGTAACCATGATAATGCAATTCATCATCTTGATCACGCAACTAAGGAACTTTCTTTACAATTTAATTCTAAGACCTCTGAGCATATAGAAAATTATTGATGGTTAAGATAATTTGACCGATAACTGCCTCCTCCCTTATATCCAACTATATCCAAAAGGGGAAAACTAACCAAACAATTCACAAATTTTGTTGTCAGTCAAAATTGGTTCAGCATTTTGTGAGAAAAAGTGAAAAACAGCAAATTGTTTAGAGACAAACAATGAATGTCAATGGACAAAAGGGGATCATAAGTCTAATGTGACCAAAAATGACAATTTTTCTTCTTCCTGTATGAAAAAAGCAAAAATTGTTACAGCAATCTGTAATTTCTACTCTATGGAAATTTGTCCATTAACCAAGGACGTATGCTTTCAAAATATATTTGTTCAAATTACAAACTCTGCACAGTTACAGTTTACAGATTTCTGTAACAGTGACGTGATCATGTCATAGTGTCACCTGTCTTATTGTGACAGCAGGTCTCCAGTCTTTCTCCTCGTCAAGTAATGATAAACACACTGTTCCTGATGGGTAAACATTGGGGTGGAATAATGGTGGTTCAAATTTACCTGCAATCAAAACAGAAATACAGGATTATTATAACATATTCCTATTTTAATGTATAGAGCTACATAAACCAATGTTTCACTTGAAAAAACAACAACATTATTCCCACAGAGTTATGGTCATTATATTGCTTGCTCTGGAGATGGGTAGCTATTATCGTGATCAGAAGGACTGAAGCAGAATGATTAGAGTCAAAACTGATACCAGCACCAATCTATTATTTATTCATGAAGAGGAAACAACACAAAGTTGCAAACCTAGGGAAGTGTTCTTTGGAGAATACCAACTAATTTATTCAATTTCAAATCAATAATACTAACAAGTGAAATTAAGAGTCTTCTCAGACCCCAGGGAAATCTTCAGTAATTTGTACCAAGGTTTTGAAATTCATCTAGATCTAATGATACAACTGTTGAGCAGAGATGCATTCACCCTAATTTTGGATCAAATAAGCAAATACTTTCAAAGGTACCAAATTCTTCTTTGGTTTATCAAATATTTCTGTGTTACGGTATCAAGCACTTTCTTGAACCCTGCTTTTCAAAAGGCTAGGGCCATCAATGTAGGACTGAAAAAATCAGAAAAGAACACTGGATAATGAAAGGGAAGTAATTCATCAATTAATCCATGGCCCCTTTCACGCAACCGGTTCAAACAGTTTGTTTTTAAATGCAACATTTTCAGGTATAGCTCCTGGCAGACCTGCAAATGTTTATGCAGGCCTTGGAAGGCTTTGTCAAGGCTCGTCTGAAAACAGCATCTGATTACTAGGTCCAACCTTATTTCATAAACGAACAACTCTGGTACAACCTGTTCAACCGTTTGGATTGTGATAAACGAATGCGACCCATGTGAAACCCAGATATGTCCCTCATGGGAAGGGAAGCAACTCATTTATTAAATATCTGAGACTTACACTTAGGTGGAGAACTTGGATAATCCTCTTTGAATAACAGTCTCAGCTTAAACTGACCAGCTTCCCACGCTGTCTAAAATATAAAAGAAAAGTTTAGTTTAATTCAAATTTATGATTCCATATAGTTGTTCCTATCTTTTTATCAAAATAAACATGTTTACATTCTTTCAATTTTGTAACCAAAATACATATGCATTTTTCTCTCATTTTAATGATTTTATTTGAAATATGAAAGACAATTTACACTATATCAGACGAGGACAAGTAGCATTTGTTTCCAACATATACAGCTTTATGGTGCAATACATAATTGTAAAATTAATAAGACCCTAACAGCTTGAATTTGAGCTGCCATATACAAAACCTTCCAGAGGTTTAAAATTCTATATTCAGATTACTAGACCACTGGCCATGGTTGCTTTTTGAAAAGTTTCACAAACCCAATCATAGCATCTACTAGCCCTGGACATAGGGCTAGTGGACCTGTACACCCCTGGGGGTGTCATCCCCTCCTGTAATATGATTTTTCCATTACTTAAGCAAACAAGTAATTGCATTGAAAGGTTTTGAATTATGTGACCAGTAGCCCTTGTAAGCCCAACTGGAGGGTTTAGCCCCTTATATGGTATTAACTTTGATTCTCATCATCTATGGACAAATTTATGAAAAGTTGGTAAAAATCCACCAGAATGTTTTAAAGGAGATATCATTTAAAATGTTTTGCACTCTTATGGCCTCAGTGGACAGCCCCATTGTTGGCCGCTTCGTGTGTATAGATATAGATTCTGGTAGAAGGTGCAGCCCCCCACATACAGCCCCTGTTTAATTACAGGGCTCCCTGTTTTTGAATATGGACAAAAATCTCCAACACTTACTGATGGAGACTACCAATTTTATCATAATTTAAAAATTTCTGAGGGTAAGATGAAAATGCTGGTCAAGAGTAATGCAGGAAGACGGAAGAAGGGCTATCATAAAAAAACATAAGGGACTGGTGATCTAAACATTCATTACCGTTCTTTTCCCTGGAATCGCACATTCCCAATTCAGGAGATTGAGTGTTCCGTCAGGATTCTTCGTGGGTCTGGCCACAAAGCCCTGTTAAATGCAATAAAATAGAATTAATTAATGGAAACAACTTTTAATATATTTATATTAGCTCACTCAGATACCTCCTTTACCTAAAGCTGTTAATTGTGAACTTTAATCTTGAACAATGATCCCAAAAATCAAAATTGAATTTGTTGAGGGATTTATGAGGCATCCTGTTAGTTGTATTTTTATTTACAAGCTTTCAAAACTAAATCTGTTGAGGGGTTCATGCTACATTTTATATAGAATCTTTTTACTTCAAAAGTTGGTCAAGCATGACCATTGACCTTTAAACATGGCCAATAACCATCAAAGTCTCATTTGGTGTAGAAATGTTTTTAATTGTGCGATCATATGCTTAACGTGAAAGGAAAATGACTAAATATCATTGTTAATATGACCTTATATATCTGCCCAAACAAATAATAATCCCAGGACACAAGCACCATTTAAATGGTAGTCGGAAGATCCTCCAAGATGTCCAAGATAAAAATAATGGAAATGGATGTATGGGCATCTTCATTCCCATTCATATAACATGAAAAGCTTGATAATATTAAACTATTCATGTTAAAAATAAGCAAGAGGCTCAATGGGCCTGAATTGCTCACATGGTATCAATCTCACACTTGTAATCTTAAAAGTGGATTAAAATACAACTACAGGCAGAATATCAGTGTTTGATTCATAAGAACATATTAAAAGATTTAATCATATGACGCCCATGTTCTTGAATGTCGAACAAGGACAATAGGTTGAACAGAGATTATAGTCTTCCAACAGCATGCTTCTAGCAAAATATCATTACCCTGGACCTTTTGGTTATACAAAACAACTCATTTAAAGATTAAATATCATCAACCTTGGCCTTTTGCTTATTATGAAGAAGTCATTCAAAGGTTTTAAACATATTTGACCCCTGTGGCCTTGAATATAAATCAAGGTCCTTTATTTGAACAAACTTGGTAGCCCTTCATCCCAGCATGGTTCTGGCCAAATATCATCACCCTAGACCTGAGAAGAAGTAAAAAGTTGACGCTGGACGGACGCCGCACAATGCCATAAGCTCACTATGCTCTTCGGGCCAGGTGAGCTAATAAAAAGTAATCTAATTTTGCTTTCAACCGACGAATGAGGCAGTAGCATCTGAAGCAGGAAACCATTCTGATCAATTATGGAATATCATACATATTGTGTAAATGTTTCAGCATCTAGATTTTATGTTTCTTTACCAGTTCACCCATGGAATAAAGATTGAAACTACATGGTTCAACAAGATTAGAATATCGATCTTTGAATGTGTATGAATATTGCCTCTGGAATTTTTATTCAAAACAGTTTTATTTCTTTGCATTGAAGATGGCATTTTCCTGTAAAAACTTACAAATGGATGATCTTTTCGCCAAGCTTTCCTTTCTTCAGATAATCGAGCTAGAGCAATTCCGGACATTGTGCAGCATCTGAAAAATAATTGTGAAAATCATGGTGAGAAGATTTTGTACAATACAATAACTCCTCCTAACAGAAAAGAGAATAATAGTGTACATGCATGTGCTTCCACATGTGCTATCATCAGGGATCAAACCCTCAATCTCCAGGTTCCTAGTCGGAAGCTCTACCACTGAGCTAAAGGGAAATTACCTCTAACTTGAAGCTAGAAGGCAACTGTAATCCTATGTACAATTAAAATCTGCCACACTTGAATAACACCTAATTATAAGTGTACATTCTGTATGATTTACTGGACTGGTGAAGGTGACAAAGCTAATATTGCACGAGTTATTCAAACACATCACATGCACATAAACCTTCACTAATATACAATACAAGTGTGTGCATTTATCTTGATTTGAAATATTGAGGCTGCCATTTTGTATTTTTTTTGTTTTTTTGTATTTCTGTCTTTGATGACAAGAAATATCAATTTAAATACAGAAACATGGTTTCAGCAGCCCCCCAGCACACACACAAGATTTGAACACTTTCTATGGCATAGCACTGGACTTTCCAGCCAAACTGCACCAACAGATATTCAGTGTGTGCTATGACTTAACCATTATGATCTCATAAATTAATCTAAAATTGCTTTCTTGATGGCAAATGTGACAGATAGTTAGGGTGTCTGACAATCTGCTCCAAAGCCGTAACATGGCACCACAATTTTGGTTCACATCACCCAAAAAAATCTGAACACTTCATAAATAGCACCCAAAAAATCCAGTCCATCCCAAAAGCTATATCATCAATATCAATGGATTTTGTGAGTGGCTTGTTACCTTTTGTGAGATATGTGTCAATCTGTCTTTAAATTTATGAGCCAGTTACCTGTTTAACATTGTTTAGATGTTTACTGTTATATTCAATAAGTTGATTTGAATTAAATGTGCTGCATGTTTAACTTTTCACTTTAAAATGATACATATTAACTGGCATAATCAGCATATTCTATGCTTAAAAGAAGGCAATTATTATGATAATATTCTTTTTATATAATGCAATAATTTTGACTTATTGAATCAAATAATGGACATTTAAATGTTATAACCATATGCCGATGACTATATAATTTCTAGGAAGCTAAAATTGATTATCATATGACTGTATATATCAACTGATGATCATGGTTGAGTCATCATATACAGATGCCATATAGCTGTTGATATTAGATAAACAACAAAGCCATATATATGTGATTCTACAAGATGTGGGTAAAGTGTTTATTACAGAAAATATATTTGAGGTTTGTGTACAATTGTGATGACTTATACTGTAGCTATTAGTGACTTATACTGTAGCTATTAGAATAACCAACAAAGTTAGAACAATGTGTCATAGATTGACGGTTAGAGTATAGATGAGAGAATATGCTCCATGTTATAGACCAACAGTATCCAACAGTTAGAGTATAGATGAGAGAATATACTCCATATGGATGTTGTAAATTGACAATGACTAAGTGAGTATATCCATGTGCATTAGATCAACAGTGTCTATATCATACGCATTTAATTAAAACAAATTGACATAAGAAATAAGTAAAAGAAATGTTAATATCTATATACATTTATGTCTTTTAAGTCATTCTGTATATTCTTTGTGACACGTGCACTGTTATTTAACTGACAGACATGGCATTGATTGTGTCATTACTTTTTTTATTTTTATTTTTTTATCATGAAACCTGGACACCAAATATTTTTTATTAAAATTACTTAATTACAGTCCAACAACCATGTGGGAACGGATCCTGCATTCTTGAATTTGTTCTTAAAATATGTTTGCTTAATTATAGCATTAATTTAATCGTTCAGAATAATTTGTTCACTCTCCATATCCTTACAAGTTCCACTTTTGTCACTAAATAATTGTCTGAAAGCACGCAAATGACTGCACGTTCCAATATCAACTATTTGGTAATAACCCAACTTTCTGAGAGAGAGAGAAGAGACAGTACATGATTAACATGAAATGTAATTTATACCTGCCGCAATTTTTACAAATATTACTCTTTTGATAATATATCCAATTTCAAGTGTCTGGTTGAGGCAGAGACTCGTAAATTACAATATATATACATCTCTGGTTTAGGATACTTGTGACTTGGTCTGAACTTATTACCTCTCAAGTCTGCTACGGAAACACGTGTACATTTTGCCACAACACTGTTTTTTTTGCTGTTATCATATATTCAATTTACACGAGTGAAATATATGTATCATTCATAACGGGAAAACCATAAACTTTTTTTTTCACATCACGGGACGCAAATATTGCTACATAAGAAAAGCGCAGGAATTTGTAGTGTAATTTTTGATGCCAGGTTCTAATGACATCACGCTTGACAGATCGCTTTTTTGAATGGGTTTCTCACTACAATTCTGCCGTTTGCTGCAATTAAATGGTAAGATTTCCAAACAGAAATGTTTATTTATGTAAATACCATGATGCATGTTTCAAAGGTGGAACTACAACCACTTTTTCTTCTGACGATCTAGCAGTGTCTAGAAAGTACCATTTTGACTGGACAATATTGAAGGCGATTTCTTCTCGTTTGAAGGAACAATATTTCGTATATTTACACTGCATTGAATATATGTTTTAATCAAATGGAGAATTAATCATATTTCACTAGTTAAATGTTATGAGCACGGATATTGTAGGGTTAACTATCACATTTTTGTAGATAGTATGCAGCCTCAATTCCCCAGAAAGCTAAATTCACGGATGGGGAAGCACCGGAATTGCACCGCTTGGTGATTTAAAAAACCGGAAGCAACAGTTCTTAATATGAAAGAGTTACCACAAGTTTTAATATATTGTTTGATTTGTGATTTTTTATGATAAAGATTGTGGGGTGTAAAAGAAATTTTGGGTGAATTGGTTGTCACACTTGGGGTGAAATCATTTGTATGAACTGTGAACAAAACATTGGGCGTGACGGTTTTGGGTCGAATCGTCTGTAATTAAGATAAACGTGAAATTTTCCTTGTTCTATTTATAGCTTTTCTACACCACAACTTATGGATGTTATGCAGTTTGTTATTTTACAAAAATTCAGCAGACATTTTTTATATGAATTGTGACGTATAATTGGCCAAATGTTAAAATGAAATTGATGTTTTTAATTCACTAAGCCTATATTTCCAATCATTGTACTGTAATTGCAACTCAAACAGTTACTCAAATGAAGTTATAACAGATTATTATTCCCGTATGATGGGTTGTGCCAAACCTTATTAATGTTGGATGCTGTGATTTTCTTAGCGTTCGCATCAAGGCAACATTAATTCCTTATCAATAAAGGTTAAATATAGTCAAGTATTCATTTACTAAACGATTACGATTATTGTGTTTGAACCAGAAGATAAATTACCAACATGTATGATCCTTTCTATATAGAGTTTCCCTCCAGTCCTCGTTTTATTCTTTGATTGCGTAAATCACGTGACTACCTTGAATTTTGTAAAATGTTTTGCAGAAGTGAAGTATGTAAAACCTCAAAACGACCAAGATCGCCTAGGACTCTCAGACGTGACCAATCGGGAACCGTCGGCACTTTCCGTAAACGAGAAAATACTC